TCCACTGATACAACAATGTTCTGTATTAACGTCACTTCATATAACAATCTGCACCATTACTTTCTTTTTACGTAACCAACAAAAACGGGCACCAAAAATCAGGACACGGGGGAAAAAAAAAAAGGATGTAGCCTACACGTATTTTAATTTTTATTATTAAAAAACAAAAAACAAAACTCGCTGCTGTGTATGGAAATAGGATGTTGGCAGCTTATAAAATGTGCAGAGCTAGAATTTTAATACATACGCTATATTATTTTTTTTTTTTTTAAATTGCACTTTCTTAAATCTGTGGCATCGGTTGAAAGTACATGTTTTCTCGAAATGTCGATTCAAAATTTAATGTTGAAAAAGGCGAGAAAAATTGCATAATGTAGGTACAATTGTTACACGAATGAAATATGGTTTATTTTGGGGTTTTTATTAAATTTATGCTCTATTTTGCTTGTGTTTCTCTCTCCTGTCAATTTTTGGTTTCTGAGCTAAGTACATTTCAACAGCTTGCTTGCTTGCTTACGATATATTATGTAATACAGTATAACACTGATAGCTCGAATTCGTTGGGACCTGCCTCGGTTGTTCGAGGGATCCGTAGTTCGAGGGATATCTTACAAAGATAAAAAAAGGGGATAAAACGGGACGGCAGGCACAGTTCGACGGATGCGTGATTTCGAGTCTTCTGTGTTCGACCTATCCGTGTTATATTGTATTATGTATCGACATCTATGTGTATATCACGGATACAATTTGTTATGGTGTAATGGAGGCATACGGAAGACGAAACAACACTATGTGTTTATTCTGATTATACAATTATGTAAATGGAGAGAAAAAAACTTCACTTTTCTCACAATGAGGAACATCAATATCGTAGTAAGTTGCATTTTGTCGCGAACTGGGTGAACATACTTAAAGTGAGTTGTGCTTCTGCTAAAAATCTTATTATTATGGTGATGGGTCAGAGATAAAAGGAAGTCTTTAAAAAGTACAAATCCAGAATCAAATGAAACGATTTTGTAGAGAAGAAGACGGAAACAGGAGAAGGATGAAGAATAAAAAGAGATGGCCACTCTATTATCTACACGTATAGAAACCATACTGATGAAATGAAAATGATGGTGGTAAAAAAGAGTAATTTTCCAATTGTTAAAATGAAAGGAAAAGAAGAAGAAGAAGAAGAAGAAGAAGAAGAAGAAGAAGAAGAAGAAGAAGAA